TTGGTCCTGCCTAGAGCAGGGGGCTGGACTTGATGACCTTCTGAGGTCTCTTCCAGTTCTATGGTTCTATGATTCTATAGACACGGAAGTGATTATCAAATCAAAAAGCTCCTTGGTTTCTTCCATCATGATGGAATTATGGACATTTGGTATGGATTTTAGAAGGGCAAATGTCATCACCCCACTGGATCCTTACTCATCACTTCAGACAGAGGAACTACTGGATCTACTAGAGGGATGCAAAGTTCAAAGTACTGCAGATTTGACCTGAGGTTATTGGCAAATTCCCTTATATGAGGGGTGTGTGTGGTGAGGAGTTTCACATTGGTGAAATCTAAATTGAGAATTCACACGCAATTGGGTGTTTGTGCTCTGCTTCTTAACAATATGCCCTGAGGTTGGTACACATGCTCTTGAGTCACTGGAGGCAGCATTACACTATCTTTCAAAACCTCAACCTATTTTAACACCTGAGACTTTTTGTCCCATTTGCTAGAGATCTGGAATGCACTCACACATAGTAGAGAAGTAGTTAGCCTTCATATTTTTACAAAAATTGTCTGGTGGACTTTTATAATGATCTTGCTGATAAATTTGAATGCAGTTCCTTTGTAGTATCAGCCTTAATAGTTTCCACAATGTCCTGGAACACTGTCATACCTTGTGAGTAAGTCGAGTGAACGCCAGATGTTATTATTACAAGGTAAAAGCACTAACTAGTATTTCTGTGCAACTGAGAGAAATCTATGTAAGGTTGTGATATCTTTGTAAATTCAGAGCTATAGCCAGTGTCCAAAGTGTATGTAGGGGAATGTCTCTCAGACCCTCTCCCACCAATTATTTTTGAAGCTCAAGAAGGGTCTTCACCTAGCTTCTTCCAGAATTACTTTTTATAGAGCTTCTTGGACTCCTATTGCTGCCTCACACAACCTCCCAGGTCCACTCCATTTCCCCATGGGTGAGCACTGTCCACACATTGGCCTGTCCATCAGTAGTGCCTAAGTCCATGGAGGAGTGGAGCAAAGCCCAAAGCTGAGAACTGCAGTAGTCAGGGGAGTGGCAGATGTAACAGCTTGGGAGAAGGCAGGGGGAGGCAGTACAGGCTAGAAGCTGAAGAGGAGCCAGGAAAAAACACAGGGGTCCCTTCTGGCCACCTGGCACCTTATAGGCACAGACTCAGAGCTGAGCAAGCAGGGAACGATGGATCTGGGCTGGGACTGACAGGGACAGTGGGATAGAGGCAGCAGCTTTGACATGGGGCCCAAGGACTCAGAGCCCCTTTACCCTCTGCATCCACACTGTCCCTGCACTCCCAGCCCCATTGGGACCCTCTCCTGTGTGGTTTGGGTATCAATGATATCTGCAAAACACTAAGCAGGACCCACCCTGATACTCAATTCAGCACTAAACAGTACAGTTGGGGCACATAAAAGGGACACTGCATACACCTTTCAGGGAACTAAATGAGGCCCTGAATGGTCCATTTGGGGCCTAAACAGAACACTTAATATAACATATCGGGCATTAAACACAGCCCAGAGTATATCTCTGAGGCTCTGAATAGCCCTTTCAACACACTGCACTCCCCAAAATACCATTTGTGACACTAAACAGAGAAGGATAGGGGCCAAACACAGAAGCAGAGTGAAAGAGTGATGGGAAAAGGACAGAAGCAGGTTATTCATGGGCCCTTAACAGGCCTGGGCCCTGCTCCCCTGGAATTGCTGAACCCCTCCTTTGAACAGTCCCTCTTCCCTTAACCTTAGATTTACCCGTTCACATCAGCATTGTTTTCTTCTTGTCTGGCTGATACCCTAAGAAATGGCTGTGCTCTCTTCAGCAATGTGGGTCCCACGCTTGTAAGAAATCACTGTAGATGGCACCTTCTAGCTTTGCCTCATTTTGATAGTGATATTGCTAGTGTTGGATTAAACCTACATAATTAAATAGGGATTTTAATTCTTTAAACTACCGTTCACCCTGCCATAGGGCTTGAGGGCTGGACTCTGGAACAATTATAAGTGTAATATAATAGAGTAATGAAACACTGCCCCCAAGACCTAAAAATACCTGAAGGGAATCTCCTCAAGAAAGGGTTTGAAAGGAAAGAATGAGTAGTCCTGTGGTATCTTAGAGCAAGGGTGGGGAACCTAAGGCTCAGGGACCAGATGCAGCCCTTGAGGCGTAGGCCATTCCTAGTAGTGGGAAGCCCACGCTGGTACTCCAGGCCTCCTCCCCCACATCTTCCTGTGAGGGTGGATCACACAGAATCTACTAGCTCAATCCCCTCCAGGCTCTAGTGTGCAAGGGAAATGAGGAGTTTTTCTCCTTTTCAGTCAGGGGCCGCATCAGTGAGGGTTTGGGTGGGTTTTTTTCTTCTCACTTGTGTGTGGCCCCCAACTGATTTTTCTGTGAGTCACCAGTCCCGACCAAAAAAGGTTCCCCACCCTTGCCTTAGAGACTAACAAAAAATCTACATATATATAGTATTGTGAACTTTCGTGGGCAAAACCCACTTGTTCAAGTGAGACTCAAGTTTCATCGCATCTGAAGAAGTGGGATTTGCTCATGAAAGCTCAGGATACTCTAGCTATATACATAAATAGAGAGAGAGATAAAATTTGTTAGTCTCTAAGGGTATGTCTACATTATAGCGTGAATTCGAGTTAACTTAATTCGAAATAGTTAATTCGAATTAATCTAATTCAAATTAATGCATCTACACACAAAATGTATTTCGAAATAGCGTTTTGCTATTTCAAAATAGCGCATCCACACTGATTGGACTCTGAATCAGAGTTAAGGCTGGCTAGAACCAGTGCCGGCAGGGCACCAGGTCAGGACTTAATGTGTGGGGTTGTTGCCTGAGGCTATCTGAGGTCTGTGCTTATGGGGACCCTACCCCCACCCCGGACAGACAGTTCTCAGGTTTCCCTGCTTGCTTGTCTACTTTGATGAGGAACAGCAAAGCATTTGTGTCTCTCTGTGCTCTGCTTGCCCTCACTCGGGACACCACAGCACTCTGCCACAGGGAGCCAGAGCTGACCCTGGGCACTCTGGTGCGTCTTGTGGACACGTTGCCATCAGCCTGGTTGCACTTGCTGCAGACTGCCATCTGGGAGGTCCATTGAGAGGCTGTCAGTATTCAGGGGGCCCTGCGGGAGAGCTTCCACCCCGAGGAGCACTAACAGTCTCCCTGGTCTGTCCCACTGGGGGCTTGTGCCCCATTCCTCCCTCACATCCTTCCATTTACCCCTCCTTAGCCCCCACTTCCTGATGTCAAATAAAATAACCCTTTTTAAAAAAAATAAAAACTCTTTATTTAACAAAATGGGGGGGGGGGGGGGAGGATGAAC